TCTTCCTAATATGTATAAAACCAAGCTGTGCTCCCAAAACCTTGAGCACATATTGTTAGGACCCCCAAGTCTCTGTCAGGGGCGTGTCCTTAACCTTGGCAAGATAAACTTTTTAAATTGATGGAGACTTGTCTCAGATACTTTTGGTTCTTAATAATCACAAGTTAAAAGAACTTTAAAGCAAATTAGAACAAGGAAACAAAAAAGTACAATAGCAAGTCATTGAGTGTTTGTGATTTACCATTGGACCATCTTCTAAATGTTTCTCAAATCTACTCCATTTCTCTCCAGCCCCACAATCACTATCCCTGCAAAGGCCATTGGCATCCCATCCTAGAACTCTAGGATCACTTTCTAATTAGGCCTTGCCACCACCGCCCCACCAATTTTCCATCTAATGGTCTGAATAATCTCCTACAAATGCGAATTTTTCCTTGTTTCCTTGCCTCAGGATCATGTGCTAATTTCTTAATGAGACTCTGGGAGTTCTCCTACTTAGCCCCTCTTAGTTTTATTTTGCACCACTGTCTATACTCCCTGTCTCTTCTCCCTAGTTCCACCCTCATCTTGATTCTGCAAAAAGATTGATTTTCCTTTAGATCCTACATTGAGCAATTTTACCCCATCTGACTCCAACCCCCTCATTCGTGACCCTCCCTTAAATAGAATGTACTCTTGACTCTTTCTCTGCAAGAGTCCTATTCCAATTATCTCAGCATTGACATAATTTTCTCTTGAAAACTACCTCCTGCCCTCATCTTCGTTAGGTAGACACTTTGCCACTGAGCTCATCCCACAGGGTTTCATTGTCTTATACCTGCTTATGTTCCCCATTAGACTCTGCCCTGGAAGGAACCCTGTTTATTAAGTGCTAGCATCTTCAGTGCATAGTACAATGCAAAACACTTAGTGGGCACTTGAGACTATTAGTTGAATTGAGAAATGAACCAATGAATGAAAGCTCACATAATTCAAATAGTGGAATCAAAGCCATAAAATTGTCATCTGGTGGTGGTGGAATAACGTAACGAAGCTGAAAGCATTTTCACCATGCTCCTTCATTTTTCTATGAAATATCTACTCAAATACTCCTAAGGAGGTTGCCCTGTGGACTCCTACAATATGCTCCAACAGTTAACTACTCTGTAAGAATTCTCAGCTCTCACTTTAAATTACATTCAACTTGAACAAAATTTAAAATATGACAAATATGACCTTTTCCCTCAAATTGGCTTTTTTCTCAATGTTCGCTCTTTGTATCAAAATAAAAATAGCGAAAGAATTAAAGAATTCTACCATTTTTCATTTGTATATAGTAATTCATTCTTTATGTTTTCTTGTAAATATAACCATATAAATATGTACCCGGCTTCACTCATTCCTCTGAGCCAGACTCTCTGAACTAATTATTACCTTCTAATATTCATCCCAATAATGTTTTCTTGTTGCATGTGTAGCTTTCTCTTCCTGACTTGGAAAGTCTCCTATTATCTACCTTTAGGGTCTTCTCTGGTATACTTACTTTGTCATAAAATGTAAAATACGTAAAAACTACAGTCCATTTTATATTGGCACTGAGCAAATGCAATTTTCAAGGTACTTTGTTGGGTTTTACTTTTTTTTTTTTTTTTTTTTTAGATTTTCTTTTGAATAACTGTTTTCTATTTGAAAAATTGAAACGTAATCCTTTCAGGTCTTCCAACCTTACCAAGAGTGAGCCTTGAACATTTTGCAGTTGTTTTCTATGCTCAGCTTGCATCTCTATTTTACTTAGCAGGTTTTAAAAAACTGTTTAGCATCTCTCTTTGCTTGAAATTATTTTTGTTTTTGGCTTCTTTTTTCCAAAGTGGTAAAAATGAGCACATCTCTTTCCAATAAAAATGATAAATGAATTCAAGCCATAAATATCTTTAAATAAGTCTTAGGACTTAAAGCTGTGGTTTTCTGTTTTTAAGAATCCACTTCTGCTTACTGCTGACTTATTTGCAGCCAGCTGCCTGATTTTACATACATTAGGTGTCGAGGAATAACACCTAAATCTTCCATTAAGTCATCATTGTGATCATCATTGCAACGACCACAATAAGCAATACACAGAAGTACTGAAAAGCAAACACTCTAGAAGATTTTTAGAAATGCAAATAAAAGATCTCTTCTAGGAAATAAGAAAAATTGATTGCTATTTCGTAGATCTACAACTTAATTCACATTATTGCAGAAACATTAGTAACCAAGACTACAATTCTGATTTTGCAAGATGTCATATAATACTCAGTTTTGTACTTAATCTTTTATCATTTGTGACAAAATTTAGCAAAATGAAAGATTATCTAGAAGTAAACTGTGATTACTTAAAGACACAGTAATATAACTATTTTTAAGAGTTAGACAATTCATGCATAAAATCATTTATTGTGACATGCATACTTGTCTAAGAATACATTTTAATACATGTTCAATAAACTGTCATTAAACTGTGTCTGTTCTGGGTTGCCAACTTATTTTTAACAAAACCATTCTATGATCCCAGTGAGAGAGGTATTGATTTTTATCTATTTTGTCAATAACATTATAACAATTTTACATATGGGAGGTTTAAACAAATTAGAGGTTTAAAAACATGTAGAATTCCTGGGAATCTTCTTTAGAAGCAAGCTTTAAATCCAATCTATCTCCAGATTCTGATACTAAAACACAATGTTCAATCTTAATTTGGAGGAATTAAGAAACATGGCAGAACAGATTACATTTCTAGTTTCATTTAGATCATTAATTCTTAATTTACATTAAGAGCATATATGAGACTATTATAAGCAATAGTAGCATATAACATATGCATATTTATAACATAAAAAATTTATTGAAAATTAATTAGATTAAACTATAATATCCGCACGATAAAGACAGGAAAGTGGGAGTTATCTAGAAAAACTGAGATAAAACAATTAGATAAAACTGAGATTAAAAAATACAAGGGCAACCTAAAGCTTCATTAATAAAGAATGTTTAAGTAAAATTCATAAAACAAAAATAAGGATTCAATCGACATGGGCCACCTATGGCCTAAAGCAAGCACAATGCACACAGTATAATTGCTGCCATTTGTATGTACATTTTTAAGTAAGTGAATTTATTTTTCCAAGACTCATTCTTACATACATGTTTCTACGCAGACTTATAAGTGCTAATTTTAGTTAAGCAGCAGAGTTCAGGGAGTTCAGTTTGCTAAGTCACAGTCCTAACATCAGGTGTTCAAAGATGGAGACAGGGAATTTCTCAGCATTGTTTGATTGAAAAGATGTGAGGGAGAATGTGCCAAGAGATAGGGCTGGGCCAGCTGGTCCACTGGCCATCATCAACAATCCCATCAAAAACATTAGGGTTGGGTTGGGGGGAATTTTGTGACAAAATGAGGAGTCATTCAGTCAGAATGGTCATTTAGCCAGAAGGTCATTCAGCCAGAAGCATAAAGGATGAATTCAGGAAAAGAGCGGAAGTGGGAAGGTTAATAAAATGACAATTGTAATATTTCATGGAGATATGACAAAAGCCTGAATTCAAGCACTGACAGCCTGGAACACCAATGGAGAAACAGGATGGAGCAGATAAAGATGCAATGTAAGGAGTATACTTGTTAAAACTGGTGATTAATTAAATATGAGAAGAAAGTGCTTATGCTATTTGCTGCCTTGTACTTAGAGGTTTATAAATATAAAACAAAAAACATATAAACATTTAAAAACAATTATTAATTACATATGTGTAACAACTATATTAGGTAGGTTCTAATATTGTCATCTTCATTACACAGATGAGTAAATAAGAGTATTGTAAGATTTAAGTTACTTGTCCAAGGTCATGCAGTCAGTAAATGGTGGGCACAGAATTACGAACCAAGGCAGTTGAACATCACTGTGTACATTTAGCCACTACATTCTACCTCCCCTCAGGCTCCCCTGATCACCTTGATAGTTTCTAAGATGATGCTTGGATTCCAACTTAGGTGAATGGGTGAAAAGGGCCAGCACTAATCTAATGAGAAGCAGGAGTAAATGGAATGACCACAGGGCCAGTGGAAAAGGCCGAAATGTGAAGTACTTGTGACATACCAAAGTTGAAGCATTTAGCAGGAGCTTCAAGGACAGAACAAGGGCACCAGATACAAACGTCAAGCCTCTTGGTAAAAGCATGGCATATGGAGCTATGACATAAAAGGGATGTTCTAGGAAAGGTAATCTCCAGTCTTTTGACTTGCTAATTGTAATACTATATATACACTTCTCTAGGGCGTCTTTTAAATATGTACATATGAAACAAACAGTCACTGACTGGCAGTAGGAAAATATGGCCATTTTAATCCTTTAAAATAAATCTGAAAACTATACAATTCAGGAGAAAAATACGCCATCGATAGCCCTTCCTTTGGAATTATTTCCTTAGTTACTCCTACCTCCACCCCCACACACAAAAAAACAAAAACTAACCCACAAAATCATCTTTTTCTGACCTACTGTACTGTTAGTCAGTATAACACAACTTCAGATGAACTTCTTCCACATCTTTGACTCAGTTTGTACTTCCTTGCATCAACTCCTTAGTTGCAGAGTTTAACCTAAATAACACTAAATAGTTAATCATGATGAACCTAGAATGGGTAATGATAAGCAAATCTTGGGATAATCAGCAACTATTCCTATAATTCCTCCATTATTGCTATTGAAAGAATACGGTTTCTTTGAGTAGGGAACAACGGTTTATGAACATTCACTAAGTACTATATCCCAGGTCCTGTGAAAAGAATCTATGACAGGACAAACTCACTCATTGCATTGTTATTGATTGCAGGATTTCCTCTTACAACAAAAGCATAAGATGAACTTAATGATCTTATGATCTCCAATGCTCCTTTTCTGTGTGAATACCTATGAATTTATATTAATAAGATTGTCTAACCAGGAGCCATTATATCTTCTAAAATATTTATTTTTATTTTTTAAGCTCATAGCTCAGAAAATACCTTTCACTCATTGAACAGACTACGGCATTATTCAAGTCATCACTGGTGATATCATTAAGAATGGTATTTCCTGTCAATATTTATAAAAAGGATTTTATGTGAATAGAAATAAGCTAAGGAAGTCTAAAATGTGGACAAGTTGAAAATATTATTACATGCTGAATTTTAAGACACATAGAAAAAGTTAAAGTGGGTGATGCAAATCTAGAAGACCTTTATCAAAAAAGGATAGCAAACGTTTTTATTTCTGTGGGTAAAGTGTGTTCTGCAAACGAACAGCTAAGCTTTATATTAGTTCAAAAGAGAAAGTGAAGCCTGTGGTAGATATCAAAAAATAAAAGCTCTGGGTATACCCAAGTGTGGTCTGCAGTATTCCCAGCTGTGCAGACTTCCAGGGAGACAGGAACACCCTTGCCTCAATGGAATCTAGTGGATCAAATGTTACTATTGGAGCAGAAATGACATTGTATTGGGGATCATTTTGAAAGGAGGTAGTTTATGAATGGTAAAGCAACTCAGTCTCCATTTTGCTAATCTCCTTTTTTATAGGAGAATTGTGGACTTGAAAGACTGGACAGAGAATGGTTATGAAATGTGAAATATAAACTGAGTGAGGAGAAAGAAAGTGTGAGCCAGTTGAAATCTGAGTTTCCCAGGACCACAGGAGAACACCCAGGAGGCTGCTGCAAGAACTCCCTTCTTAGGCTGTTCTTCAGTCATCCTTGGTGTTCATTCACAAACCAGGGATTAGGGTGGAGGTGCCAGAAAATCACAAATTTTTTTAATTCAAAAGGGAAAACAAAAAGAATTAGAGAACAGGTAGCATAATGGTAGCCCACAGTTAATTTCTAGCACTGAATGACTGGTTTGTTTACTTAAAAATAAGTCATCACACGAATCCAAAATTATTGTATGTGGTCTGATGCCATGGATTATTTATGTTTTAAGACCTCTTTATGGTTTGTCATGAGCTGACAATGTATACTATCCCGTCTTTTGGATAAAAGATAGAATTGTATGCAGATTTATCCACATTACATGTAGGTGAACACAGAGCTGTTTAAAATTGACCCTAGAAAATACTGAAGAGGAAAAATACCAACTTGACGGGGATAAAGAATTGCACGGCATAAACAAAAGAAGGTTGGATTCGCATGACCAGCCAATGGAAATAACTGTTGTCCCTGGAAAAATGCAGAGATCTAAGGTTTAAATAAATCTTCACAAACACAAGACAAAGAGTCCTAGTTTAACAAACACTCCATTACCATGATAAGCTAATAGAATGGGTAGTATGCATGGCTAGAAAAAGCAAACAAACCAGAAGCTAAGGCAGTAAGTCTCCATTAATAAGAGAAGAGAGGAAACCTATCACTCTACCTTAGTTGCTCTAATGTGACAGAAAAGAAATATACACCTTTTTTAAGGTTTTGGAATTCTTATTTTAAACAGGGATGTAGATAGAACTATGGTCGGAAAAGTGTTAACAGGTAGAGCGTCTCAAAATGATGCCACATTTGAAATGATTATTTTTGATAAGATGTCATTTAGGAGGACTGGAAGCTTTTTAAACACTTGAAAGAATGTGTTAAGAAAGACATTACAGGCAGAATCTGTATAGGTCTAGACTCAGGGCCAGGAATAACCCATGGAAATTGGTGGAAAGCTAAGTTCAGTTCAGTTGAGTGCAACTTTTTACCACGCAGAGGTCTGAAAATGAAATGGGCTGCTTTTTCATAGAAAAAAAAATGGCAAATATCTTAATCCTCAGAAAGTCATCTCACTAATTATTCCTGAAATCAGTGTTTAAACACCTGGAACCAACTTGCTAAGCTTAGCTTTTTCTTCAACTCACAAAGCACATTTAATGTCTCCAGCGGAGATCGAGATGTTCTTCTAGCAGTGAAAATTGCACAAACTACAGAGAAATGATTGATACTCAACATCAATCCCTTGCCATGTCCTCATATTTTTGTCTCGATGTTCAGAAAAATAGAATTGCTTCTGTTCTGTTCTTTTAGCCAGTCTGTTCTCTTCAACTCACTAATTTATCTTGGAAACTCTACTTTTCAAATGTAAAGGCCCATCATTAGGACGTTTAATATCGATGGAAAAAGGAAAATGACTACTTTGCCCACAAAAATAAAAACACTTGGCACTTATCTTTTCATGATGATGTTTTCCGACTTTATTGCTAGAGCAGTGGAGTATTGACAAGCAAGGACCTGCTAAGAGACCACTACTGGACTATGACCTTCCAGACTTCCAGCAGCAGGATCCAAGTCTCTATCCTCACAAAATCGCAAATGCTCCTGTACTATAGAACGTCTGATTAGCATTAAAATAATTTCATTAAAGAATACTGTTGCATAATTCCTCAGTGTCTGCTGAATAGCTCTAAAAGCCCCACTCAAATTTTAAGACACTTCACCAATCTTGCTTCATTTTAGGCTTTCATCTTCAAATCACCATTTAAAAATTATTGAGAAAACTCAACAGCACTGCACAGTTTCAGTCTTATATAACGGTTGCTTATTTTTGGAGACTCAAGAAATGGTTATTTGATCTGGGTTTGTTTCTGATGTTGCCACCTCCAATTTTTTTTCTCCATTTTCTTCTCATACAGCTCTTTTTAAAACACAAATCTGATCGACTTCTGCTTAAAGTTCTTCCAATGACTCCTACTCAGTTACCCCCTAATCAGAATGTGAGGGATGAAATGAAAGCCTGCCTGTTTTCACAGCCCACAGCCGACTCTAGCACCTGTATTACAGCTGACCTGCAATAAATATTTCTCAAAAAAAAAAGGAATGTACAACAACTAAATTATGAAAACATTTCATTGTTTTGTGCTTGTCTCTGGACTTGTGTTTATCCTTTTTTTTTTTTTTTTTTTGCCTAATTTTTGGTTTTAAATTTTAACTTATCCAAGAGACTGTTAAAATATGTAAGCCTTTGTTTTCTCTAGGAAAACAGGACTTCTGAAAGGCGGAGGCAGGAGGATCACCTGACCCCAGGAGGTGACCAGCCTGGGCAACATAGCAAGACCCTATCTCTATGAAAAATTGAAAAATTAGCCAGGCATGGTGACATGTGCCTGCAGTCCCAGGTATTCAGGAGGTTGAGGCAGGGGGATTCCTTGCGTCTAAGAATTTGAGGTTACAGTGAGTTATGATTGTGCCATTGCATTCCAGCCTAGGCAACAGACAAACGAAAACAAAAATTATTTTCTCTAGAAATTTTTTCACCAGTAGGAAATATAGCAGCTTTAGAGAATTTTAATTTTCATTATTGTCCTAGCACACTGACAGTGTTTTCCAGTACTCCCTATTGTTTTTCTGAATCATGGTATCTCATACTTCTAATCAAAGATGTACTTCAAAGGCCTATCGTTTTAAAATACTTTGGTTATTATCGATGAAAATCCTTTTAAAACTTATTCTAATCTTTTCTTTCCTCTAGATTTAATATGCTTACCCAAATTCACCAGAGACAACTTCAAATTTGCATTTCTGAGGTCTCTCTTAAGATACTCGACCTTGTACTTAACTTTCTGTTAAGCAGATTAAAGTACTACATTTCTGGGCGTAGGGGGAAGAAAATCTGTTCAAAACAGTATCTAGGGTACTTGTGCACATTCAGAGGCAAAATTCTAGAAGAAAATCTTTAAATTCCAAGAAAGTATTCATCTACTAGAGAATATCATTGCATAGAGGAGTAACTGTGGATGAATTCAAGCATTCTATTTCTTCACCATGCATTGATTCATAGAATGTTGCATGTGAGTTGTGTTTGTGTTCATGTGTGTGTGCATAGCAGATCAACATGTAATCTCAAGAAACAGTGGCCAAACTTTCCTGAACTATTTTTAACTTTTCGATAGTTTATATTATTTCTAAAGAAATTATAATTCATTGCAGAAGAGCTGAACTTAAATTTATTGATATGTGACAGTTATGCCAAAGTACCCACTGTCTAATAACTCAAGGTATATTATTAAATGCCATGTAGATCATTTCTGCACCACAATATTAACAAAACCTGGATGAGTCACTTTGTTCACTCTAGCCATCTGAAATGATTTATGTCTATTGCCATAAATTTGATTTGCTGAAGAAATTGAATCAATTGTAAAGATGACTATTGCAATCCACTCCATCCTGCCAAAAACAGCCTGTTCAATCAAGTGCTATCTTGAAATCATCAGTGGCTTCTCTAAAAATATGGAAGTACTCAGTTAACACATGATTTATTTTCCATGTTCTAAATATTTTTTTAGGACACAACCATTTACTGTATTTTTCAGAAGCATAGTGTGCATATTATAAGACAAAATGGCATAATCCAATATCATATGCATAAAAAATAAAATTAAAATAATATGAACAATATAAAATTGTACAATGGCCTGAAATCAGAATGCACGATGATGAGCTCACTTTTCCAAGTATTTATTTGTTCCAAGTTCTTTCACATCTATTTTAAAATTAACACTCAAGACAATCTTATGAGACATATTATAACCCTTTTCTGACTAAAGAAAAATAATTCATGGAATGTAATGCTTGTCCAAAATTCGTATGTTTCAGAGCTGAGGAAAAACAAATGGAAGACTTGATTTTTTCCTTGACTTCCAACGTTTTATTATACAATCACTTATCTTTTTAAGAATATAATCTGGCTGAGTGCAGTGGCTCACACCTGTAATCTCAGCACATTGGGAGGCTGAGGCAGGTAGATCACTTGAGGTGAGGAGTTCAAAACCAGCCTGGCCAACATGGCGAAACTTCATCTCTACTAAAAATACAAAAATTGGCTGGACATGGTGGCATGTGCCTATAATCCCAGCTCCTGGGGTGGCTGAGGCAGAAGGATTGCTTGAGCCTGGTAGGTGGAGGTTGTAGCGAAGTGAGAACACGTCACTGCACTCCAGCCTGGGCAATGAGACAGAAACCCTATCTCGAATATCAAATATATATGAATAGGAGTATATATATATATATATATATATATATATATATATTCATATTTTTCATCAAATCATTTCACT